TTGCTTTCTTTGTGTTCATTTGGTTTGTATATTGGTGTAATTTGCTTTCTTTTTGTTCGATTGGTTTGTATATTGGTGTAACTTGCTTTCTTTGTGTTTGATTAGTTTGTTTATTGGTGTAACTTGCTTTCTTTGTGTTCATTTGGTTTGTATATTGGTGTAACTTGCTTTCTTTTTGTTCGATTGGTTTGTATATTGGTGTAACTTACTTTCTTTGTGTTTGATTAGTTTGTTTATTGGTGTAAATTGCTTTCTTTGTGTTCGATTGGTTTGTATATTGGTGTAACTTGCTTTCTTTGTGTTCGATTGGTTTGTGTATTGGTGTAACTTGCATTCGCTGTGTTCGATTGGGTTGTATATTGGTGTAAGTTGCTTTCTTTGTGTTCGATTGGTTTGTATATTGGTGTAGCTTGCTTGCGTTGTGGGAGTATGTGCTCACAAATACGTATTGTATGGGTCCGTGATCTGGTGAAATTTACTTTCTTTGCTGGGGTATATGTATTGAGTGTGCGTGAAATGGTAGGAATTGCATCCTTATGGGGGAATGTGCTCACAAGTATTTAAATAGTGAACGGGTCTGTTTGTTGACAATACTCGCATTCTATGTGACGATATGTGTAGGCCGAGGAATGCATATGTATACTTGTTGACAAACTCTTTATACGAAGTTGGTTGGGAACAGACAAGAATACTGCGCTCGCTGTCGCACGCTATGCTACGCGAAATAATTTTGTATAAATATACATACATATTCATGAGCCAGTATCACACGTGATCTATGTATCAGTGATATACAATGGGTGCAGATCTGTGTACATATATACATGTCTATGTAGTCTTGGGCGGCTAGATGTACACAATAATTTTATGACAATGTGCACATACACAACTTCTCAGCTACTTTACTTGGGCTGCATATCTTTGGTGCTCGGTTATATATTTACGCATACACACACATAAACACACGCACAACACAAACACAATACAAACACACACATATATATACATGTATGCATATCTTATACACATATGCAAGTGGCTGAAATCTGTTCATATGTTTATATATCGGTGCTGAATGTCATATATATATATATATATATATATATATTTCTCTACCGGTATGATAATTTCAGAAACACACACACATATATACATGTAGGTGTATCTCATAAACATATGCAAGTGGCTGAAATTTGTTCATATTTTTATATATCGGTGCTGAATATCATATATATATATATATATATATTTCTCTACCGGTATGATAACTACAGATGATTTCTCGGTGGACGAGATACGTTGGGAGGCTCATCAGGCACAACAAACCGGGAATATGCAACCCTACATAAACAACATATCACAGATGAC